CCCCTTTTTCATCTATTAGGCTGGCGCAGATGTATTTTTAATACATTGTTTCCAGTTTAGGATGTTGAACGCTGGATCTTCTTGACTCGATTCATGGGTTTTGCTTGTGTCTCTGTTTTTATGACTAGGCAACTCATTCTATTATCTCCAAATGAGGGTACAGCTCTAAAACTCAGTTTTATGGTTCTGAGACCGGCTGGTAGTCAGGTTTCCCGAACTCTGTGGTAGCTCTCAGAGAGGCTGATTCCATCAACAGCTGAAAAATATCAGAGTACTAACAGTGCCATGTTGCGCATGGATGGTGTCCCTGTTTGTACTTTTGGTGTGCATTGCCAAGGCCACATTGGAGCCCTTTGTTACGGTTTAGGGTTTATTAGTGGAAATGAGGCAATTGCTTGAGCTATAAGACGGTGTACTGAGTACTATCTATGTTTCAAGTCAAGTTCTTTAACAAATTTAAAAATGAATAAAGTAACAAAAACTTTAAAACACAAAATACCCCAGTCATCACCAAGTTCGCTAAACCTATCATTCACCAATATTCGTGGTCTTCAAAGTAACTTTTCTTCTGTTGACTCTTATCTCTTGCAAAGTTCACCAGACCTGCTTGCTCCTTGTGAGACTAATTTGAGTTCAGCTGTCTCATCTTGTGATCTTAGTGTTGATGGTTATCTTCCTTTAATTCGTAATGACTCCATTAGTCACATGCTTGGCCTAGGCATTTACATTCGTAAGAATTCACCACTTTGTGGGGAAACTAGGTTTGAATCCACTGACTACTCTTTTATGTGCTCTAGGTTTGAATCCACAGACTACTCTTTTATGTGTCTTTCTCTTTGTTCTATATTGCTCTCCTTCATCTCAAGACTACACTCTTCTTGATGTTATTTCTGATTATATTGACCAAGCCCTCATTCTTTATCCATCAGCCAATATTGTTGTTATCTGTGTCTTGAATGTTTATCACACTGAATGGCTTGGCTCTAGTGTCAGTGACTCCGCAGGCATTAAGGCCCACAACTTTTGCCTTTCTCAATCCCTAACTCAAATAGTCAACTTTCCAACTCGCTTTCCAGACAACCCCAATCATTTACCTTCTCTACTCAACTTATGTCTTGTTTCTAATCCTAGTCAGTGCTAATTTTCACCACACTCACCCTTAGGTGCTTCTGATCATGGTTTGGTCTCTCTAAAACTATTATCTCATTCTTCTTTACCATCAGAATTCCCCTATCATTGTACATATTACAACTACCTTAAAGCTGACTGGGATTCTTTCCGTGATTTTCTTTGTGACTGCCCCTGGGTAGACTTCTTTCGTCTTCCTGTTGACAAATGTGCTTCTTACATAACTTCATGGATTCAGGCTGGCATGGAGTCCTTTATTCTCTCTTGGCAATTCTAGGTCAAGCCTCACTTTTCTCCATGGTTTTCCTCACATTGTGCTGCTGCAATTGCCAATTGAAACCATTACTTCCATATCTATCAGCAAAACAATTTTCCAGAAAACAGATGTCTGTTTATTACTGCTAGGAACCATTGTAAAAAGGTTTTGTCTAACGCTAAAGCCCGCTATTCTCAGATCATGAAATCTTGTATTTTATCACAAAAATTAGGCTCTCGTGACTTCTGGAGAATCTTTAATAGTATCAATAATAAGGACAAGTCTGTAATTCCACCTCTTTTGTACGGTTCAGATTTTGTCACCTCACCTAAAGACAAAGCTGAATTGTTTGCCAAGAACTTTTCATCAATATCATCTCTTGATACACTAGTTGCGTTCTACCTGATATAGCCGTCAAACAGGTTGATCCACTGCTCGACATCCGTATCACTCCAGCTTCTGTATCTAAAGTAATTTCCTGCTTAGACTCTTCTACAGCTTGCAACCTGGACAACATACCTCATAACCTACTCACTTATTATCAATATGGATTTCGAACTTCTTGTTCTACAGCTGATTTGCTAACAGTAATAACCGATAGGTTTTATTGCGCATTAGATAAAGGTGGAGAGGTTTGGTAAAGCGTTTGATAAAGTTTGGCATGCTGGTCTCTCCATAAGCTTTCTTTTTACGATGTATCTGGAAACATCTTTAAGATTATTGAATCCTTCCTTTCCAATCGTAGTATAAAAGTTTTTCCTTAATGAACAGCACTCTTCTTCCTATTCTGTAACCTCAGGGGTTCCTCAAGGTTCAATCCTTGGCCCTATACTCTTTTTAATTTACATTAACGATCTTCCAGATATTCTCACATTCTCTAAGGTGGCATTGTTCGGTGATGATACTACCATTTATTCTTGTCACGATAAGAAGCCACCTCCCTCTGATTGCTTTCAGGGGGCATCTGAGTTTGAAAAGGATCTCACTTTTTCTACAGCATGGGGCTCACAGTGGTTGGTGAACTTTAATTCAAATAAAGCTCAATTTTTTTCAGGCAGTTGTTATCGCAATAATTTAGACCTTCCTATATTTATGATTGGTAATGTACTCGATGAGTTTCCTACCCTTCATCTTCTAGGATTAATTCTTACTTCTGATCTTTCTTGGAAGCCTTATATCAAATCCGTTGCAAAATTAGCATCTGCTAAAGTTGCTTCTCTTTATCGAGCTTGTCACTTTCTTACTCTGCATTCTATTCTCTATCTCTATAAATCTTAAATCCGGCCTTGTTTGGAATACTGTTGCCATATCTGGATCTTCTAATGATGCTCTTTCTCTTTTAGACAAGGTGCAAAAACGCATTGTAAACATAGTTGGACTTGCTCTTGCAGCCAACCTTCAACCTCTGTCACATCGTCGTAATGTTGCTTCTCTTTCTCTTTTCTACAAATACTATAATGGGCACTGCTCTAAAGAGCTAGCGTCTCTTGTGCCATCTACTAAAATTCATTCTCGTGTTACTCTTCATTCAATTAAGTCTCATCATGTTTCTGTTACTGTTCCTTAGTGCTCTGAAAACTCTTATTCGTCTAGTTTTTTTCCTCGGACGTCAGTTCTTAGGAATTCGCTTCCTTCATCTTGCTTTCCTGATTCATATAATTTGCAATCTTTTAAGTTGTCTGTTTATCGTTTTCTTGCTCTACAATCTTCATCTTTTCTTTTCCAGTAACTTCCAACACTAATTAGTGGTTGCTTGCAACCTTGTTGGAAGCGAAAATGTTAAAAAAAAAAAAAAAAAATTAGTTTTGAATTTAGGTGAGGTGACAAAATCTGAACCAAAAAAAAGAGGGGGAATAACAAATTTACCCTTGTTATACATACTCTTAAAGTTTATCCAGAAGTTACGAAAGCCTAATTTTTGAGATGATATTTAAGATTTCTTGACCAGAGAAAAGTGTGCTTTGGCATAAGACAAAACTTTTTTTACAATTGTTTCTAACATTAGTAATTGTTTTGCTGATAAATATTTTAATATTAATGGTTATGGTTAATAATTGCAGCAGTTTAATGAGAAGAAAACCATGGAGAAGAGTGAGGCTTGACTTGAGAGGGAATAAAAGATTCCATGCCAGCCTGAATCCTAAAAGTTATATAAGAAACACATTTGTCAGCAGGAAGATGAAAAGTTTGTACCCAAGGATTATCATAAAAAAAAATTTACAGGAGTCCCAGTCAGCTTTAAGCTAGTTATAAGAGGTGCGATAGTAAGGGGATTCTGATAATGAAGAAAAATGAGATTATAGTTTTAAAGAGTTTAAACCATGACCATAAGTAACTAATGGTGAATGTGAAGAAACTGGGGTCTGACTAGAATCAGAAACAAGACATAAGTGTAGTAGAAAAGGTAAATGATTCAGAATGTCTGAAAAGCAATTTGAAAAGTTATCTATTTGTGTTAGAGATTGAGAAAGGCAAAAGTTATAGGCTTTAAGCCCTGCAGAGTCACTGACACTAGAGTTAAGTCATTGAATGTGATGGCATTAAAGTCACCAACAGCAGCGCTGTAGGATAAAGAGAAGAGGCTTGGTCAATTTGATCAGAAGTTACATGAAAAAGAGTGCAGTCTTGAGATGAAGGAGAACAATATAGAACAAAGAGAAAGGCAATAAAGTAAAGTAGTGCTAAGCAAAAGCACATAAAAGAATAGTCTGTGGATTCAAACCTAGTGTCTCGAAAAATGGGTGAATTCTTACGAATGTAGTTGCCACACCAAGGATGTGACTATTGGAATCTTTACAAATTAAAGGAAGATAATCATCAACACTAAGATCACAGTATGAGACACATAAACTCTTAAACTCAAATTAGTCTCACAAAGAGTAGGTCTGGTGAACTTTGAAAGAAACAAGACTTAACAGAAGAAAAATTACTTCGAAGACAATTTCTTCGACTATTAAATAGTGCACTGAGTACTATCAGTACTTTGAATCAAGTTTGAATCAAACAGTGCCATCTTGCGCATGGATGGTGTCTCTGTTTGTACTTTTAGTATGCATTGTTGACACCACATTTGGAGCCCTTTGATTCAGCTTAGAGTTTATTAATAGTAATGAGAGAATTGTTTGACTATTAAATTCTGCACTGATTACTATCAGTACTTTGAGTCAAGTTCTTTAACAAATTTAAAAATGACTAAAGTACCAAAAACTATAAAACATAAAAAACCATCATCATCAAGTTCTCTAAATCTATCATTCACTAATATCGCGGATATGAATAGTTGCATAAAATTATAGTAATGGATTCCATTAAAACCAGTAAAACATTATTGCCAAGATAAATTCCAGAAATGATATTGGGAGATCAAAACATTATTTTTTTAAAAAAGTAAACAATAGTTGATCAGCTGTTATTTGTAGTGCAGATATATATAAAAGTTATTTTTTGATAAACTCCAACAAATTTTTAATACAAAAGTGTTCTATTATACTGAATACAAAAGTGTTCTGTTATGCTGAATACAAAGTGTTCTATTATACTGAATACAAAAGTGTTCCATTATATTGAATCTCTACTGTAGAAGTGTTACCACTTATAAATTAAGTTTTTATTTTAGAATGAAGATAGACCACTGATTGAAGAACTACGGAAGAGGTTTCTTTCAAGAGGTATAAAACAATTATTTTTAGTTATATTGTTTTGATTTTCAATAATTATTTTTGAGCTAGATAAATAGCTCTTAGCCAGGAATTATTTATTTACCCTGTTTTTGCCATATTGGGAATATTTTTTGTTATTGTTCTACAAAATGTTAGGAATTTTTATTGAAATTGTCCTATTATTTAAAGAAAAATGTTGAATTTTGCGAAATTTAAACCCTTTGAAATTTCAGCAGTCAGTGTCATTGCGCTATTCAACTATTCGATTATAGAATAAAGAGTATGCAAATATTTAAATACCAATATTTTATCAAAATATGAATAGTTTATCAAAAGTAAAATGACATATTAACAAAAATTAATAATAATTATAATTCACTTATATTTGAGAATAGAAATTTTTAGTTTTTAACGATAAAACAAAAAAAGATTTTGATTTAGTTTTTTTTTTATTTATTAGATAAATACATATAGAATACAAAGTTTAAAAAAAATTTACAAAAAAAATACAATTACTAAGTAATATTTAGGTACAACTACATGGTATTAAAAAATAAGACAAAAATAATTATTCATAAATTTAGACGCACAATACATTAGGAAGCGTAATTTATGAACCAATCAATATTTTGTGTATCCGCCTTTTGCTTTATATAACTAAGAACTCTTCTAGGCATAGACTCAACAGGATTTTGGCACTTCTAGGCATAGACTCAACAGGATTTTGGCACTTTTCCTTAAGGATGTCTTTCAGCTGGACAAGTGTGGAAATTTGAACCTTTGCCATTTAACTGTCAATCCATACCCAAATGTTTTCAATCTGGTTCAAATCAGGTGAGTATGAAGGCCACGGTATGGTTTTTATATTATTATCGTTGAACCACTCCTTTGTATAATATGCAGTATGTGCAGTAGTGCCATCTTGTTAAAGTTTCCATGGTCTATCATTGAGCATAAGCAGGTCAATTGATGGATTTAGGTTATTTTCCAGTACTTCTACATAAATTCTGGAGTTGATTCTTCTGGTGTATGTTTGGCACATACCAACACCTTTGTAATTGAAGCATGACCAGATTCCTATTAAGCCTCCTTCATTTTGGACAGTCGATCTAATATATCTGGCATAATACTTTTCGTGAGCCATTCTTTTGACTTTTATGTTAGATTAGTGATTAATAAGCTCAAAGTTCCTCTTATCATTCCGTATAATGTTTTTACATTGTTCTATTGTCCAATATCTTTTTTCATGATACCATTTTGTATTGGATTAGTATTCAGCGAACTGTGCTTTTAGAAATATATGTATTTGGCGTTATATTGAATTCTGTTGTCAATTCTTTGAAACTAATTCTTGGATTAGCTCTGACAGCTCTAAAAAGAACACTATCGTCCTTTCTGGTGGTTGAGAATGGTCTACCTGGCCTCGTTTTCTCGCTGGCACCACCAGTGCGAAGAAAGTTTTGCTTCGTTGTCCGAACACATTTCTCAAAAACTCCAATTAACCTGGCGATTTCTGAACCTGATAAGACTTTTTTGATTGTGCGTCTAAATTTATGAATAAAATAAAATCAAGCTTATTAATTAACTTTTTTGTTTTAATTGGTATAGAATGAGTAATTAATATCCTGTAAAAAAAGTTTAAGGTACTCTATAATAGAGTTTCACTTCCTCTATGTTTAAGGTACTCTATAATAGAGTTTGCACTTCTTAACAATGTCTGCCTTCAGGTTTGCATCATTTTTACTCAGTTCAATAATAGCAGTTTCAACTGGTGCAAGAATATCATCAAGGTTTTGTAGCGCAAAAGTATCATTTTCTAAAATGGGATCCAAACTCAATTTGATTAAGGATTTGGTAATATATTCGGATAGAATTAAAAATTGTTGAATCATTACATTCAAGAAATTCTGTCAAGATTTTATGTCTAATTTTATTTTTTCTTCATTATTTTAATTATATTTTGTTGCAAAATAGAATTCTTTTTAGCTGATTTTTTAAACATTTTTATAACATCTCTTAAATTGGTGATAATTTGACCAAAGTTAGTATTTAATGTCATAATATTACATTTTGCAATAATATTACATCTGTACATTTTTTTGACCAAAAAATAAATTATAATCAAAGTACTGTTCCTCTGTGGAATTTTCTTCTATTTCTCCCTCCATTTAATCATCAACCAAATCTTTTTATTGTCAAACATTTCATTGAGAATAAAATTTTTTTGCGTGTGATTATGGCATCGTTGATTTAAAACACTTAACAGATTGCCTATTTTTTTCATTATGTCTGCTGCATCATTAGTTTATGCAATAACATTTTTAAGAAAATTCATAAGTCTGCCAACTTAGCTTCTACCAAATGTTTAATTGTTTTTGCATTTGACTGCTTAATTGTTTTCATCAAACCTAGAACATAGAATTCAATTGTATTTGAGCATTTTCAAGCACATGAGCTGTTACATATATGTTATGTACATTTTTCCTTATAAAAGCTTTTGATACTCTTGAATTAGTTGTCAGATTTTTTGGCATTTTATATCCTTTTTGTTGTACTTAACCAGTAACAGCTTGAAATTTACTCATTGCTGTGATCACCATTCCATCAACAGCAGCAACTTTCGATGATTCTTCATTTAAAGATGCTTTTTTAACTAATTGACAAACAGTAATTGTTTTTTTTGTTTTTGTTTTTTCTTAGGGAAATTCTTTACTCCATAATTTTCACTTGATCCTAATTTAGATATCAAAATATGTTATGTTGTAGCTTCAAATGGTTAATCATAGCATTGGGTAAACTTTTCCATCCTATGTTTGTGTTGAACTTAGCACATGTGGCTTCGTCAATTTTTTTTTAGTTTTTTCTCAAAAACTTTCATACCTGGGATTTTTTTGACATGGCTAAAACAAAAAATATTGTAGATGTAGTTATGTAAAAAAAATATACAAATTTTAGTTTTCACCTTATATTATGCATCAACAAATTGTATTTTTTATCAGAAAATGTTTTTACTATTTTTAATAAATAAATTAAATTTATGGAACAATTTTAATTATGTAACATTTATATAGTAAACTATTAAATTTACGAACATTTATAAGCAACTTATATAACTGACTGTATTTTAAAAACCAACTAAAATAATGCCACACAAAATAAAAACCATACCAAAAATGTATTTTTGTTTCTCCACATTAGCCTTTGTAAAAATGTTAAAATTTTTTTTGTATTTTTTTTTAAATTCTTTTTAATAGTAATATATTCTTATAATATATTCTAATATATAGTAATGTATAATATATCTAATATTATATATAATAAATCTAATATATAATAAATCTATATAATAAAAATATGTAACTTAATATAATAAATCTATATAATATAATAAATCTAATATATTATAAATATTTTAATATATTCTTTTAATAACAATATATCCTTTTTTAATTCTAGTATTTACATTATATTTTGCTAAGAAGCTCTCTTCTCTTTTTTCTTTTCATTGTAAAATTTAGTCTTTACTTTTAAAAAATTATTTAAATATTTCAAAAAAAAAATTTGAATATCAAATAGTCAACAAACAAAATATTTATACTATATTTACAACTTGTTTCTCCATGCAGCAGCCTTGTTTGTCAAGGTGTTTGAGAATTAAAGAGTTTTTTGTTTTTTTTTAATTATTCACCTCCCCAAAGCCCAAGGGGGCCACTACAGTCGAGGAGGCTACTCATTTTTTATTTTTTGTTGTAAATTGTGGTACAACCCTCTCTCAACTCTTTAACTTTGAGAGAGGGTTTTACCACAATTTACAACAAAAAATAAAAAATGAACCTTGTCAAGGAAGAACCTTCCTTGTCAAGGTTCGAAACACGAACCTTGACAAGGAAGGCCACTGCGCGGAGAAATTAAGTTGAGCGCGGTACTTCCAGGGACATGGTGGGAGTCGAACTCGAAAAGTTAAGAGGATTCGACTCGAAAGTTAAGAGGATTCGAAGTTAAGAAAAGTTAAAAACTTAAGTTAAAAAAGTTAAAAAAGTTCGAAGTTAAAAAAGGTTATAAGGATTCGACTCGAAAAGTTAAGAGGATTGTAGCAATAAAGTAGCCTCCTAGACTGTATTGGTCCTTTGGCCTTGAAAAAAAGAATTTTAATTATATATATATATATATATATATATATATATATATATATATATATATATATATATATATATATATATATATATATATATATATATATATATATTTATATCAGACCTTAATTTAAAGTGTTATGCATAGAGTGATTTATGCTCGCTTTAAGCAATTTTGCTTGTTAAGCAACTTATTATTATTTTTGGTAAACAAGTGACTTTTTATTATTTTTTAACTTTTAAATTGTTCTATAAGCGGTAAGATAAAAGAAGTAATTAAACTTTTGAATTATGTAAAAATATTTGTTGCAAAAGTTTAAATAACAATTATGATAAATATAAGCGCTATTTACTAATGAAAAAAACTCAAATAAAATTAAAAATTTATTTCTATTTTTTTTTTATTTTATTGTAATGATTGATTTTTTCTCATGAAATACGCTAATACTTAAAGCTTGGAGCAAAGATTGTAATAATATAATTTATTTCTGATAAAAAATGTATGATTTTGATTCAAATAATAAATTTAAATTTATTAAAATTAAAATTAATGCTTGGGTTTAACTTAAATGTCAAATTTATTTTAAAGTATTACAAAAAATTGTTCAATATTTAAATTTTATTTATATTATTATTCCAATTTTTTACTCTTAAAAAAAAATTAGCTCATTTTTATCACAATCATTTTTTTGGTTTTCTATCCTAAACATTTTTTTGTTATTTAAAATTAAATTTTGAATAAATGTCTGCATCAAAAATTTGCACAAAATGTAAGTTAAACATTTTTTTTTTATAATGCAAGTTAAATCATATATTAAAAATTTTGTATTTTTAGTTTTTTATTAAAAATATTTTATTTAGGATTTCTTTAGTAAT